CTTTTCATGTGTGTGGGTCATGTTATTTGGGATTGTTTCAAAGCTCTTAAAATGTACTCTCTAGAAAGGAGACAAGAGAGGTATCAAATAATATTTACTTGGAAGGTACTGAAGCCTAGTCCCAAATTTGCACAGTCAAATAACAGCATACTGGAGTGAATGATATGGAAGCAACTGCAGAATAGAGCAAGTGAAGAGTAGAGGTGCCATAGGCACTATTAGAGAACACTGTATGAACATCAGAGGTCCACGATTGTTCAGTATTCTCCCAGCAAATATAAGAAATATTGCCAGAACAAATGTTGAAGTCTTCAAAACAAAAAAAAAAAAATTGCTAGACCAACCGGGCTGTGGTGGGTATGTGGGCCTGCTGGCTGCTCCAAGCAACAGCCTGTTGGACCAAGCTCTCGCAAGTCAAACCTTGTGAGAGCTTGACTTGTGATTGATTGGATTGGGGATTGGAGAGTAGAAGAGCTCCCAGAACCTCATCCAGGTACAATCCAGGTTGAAGTAAAACTTTCATGATTATAAAGCTATTGAAAATTTGTGATATTAACTCTTGAGAGTTTGGCAGTGATGGGCGGTGCACTCTCACGCCTTACAGTAAATATTCCTTCACCGCTAAAATTAGATTTTTACCAAAGGATTAACAAAAATTGTTTTTACATCTTGTAACACAGAGTAGAAAAATTTCATCCACTGGGTGGATGTAATATGTGATCCAGTATGGTACATCTGAAATGTCACCCCTCCCATGCTGTAATCTGAAATGTCACCCCTCCCATGCTGTAATCTGAAATGTCACCCCTCCCATGCTGTAATCTAAAATGTCACCCCTCCCATGCTGTAATCTAAAATGTCACCCCTCCCATACTATAATCTAAAATGTCACCCCTCCCATGCTGTAATCTAAAATGTCACCCCTCCCATGCTGTAATCTAAAATGTCACCCCTCCCATGCTGTAATCTAAAATGTCACCCCCCCCCATGCTGTAATCTAAAATGTCACCCCATGCTGTAATCTAAAATGTCACCCCTCCCATGCTGTAATCTAAAATGTCACCCCTCCCATGCTGTAATCTGAAATGTCACCCCTCCCATGCTGTAATCTGAAATGTCACCCCTCCCATGCTGTAATCTAAAATGTCACCCCTCCCATGCTGTAATCTAAAATGTCACCCCTCCCATACTATAATCTAAAATGTCACCCCTCCCATGCTGTAATCTAAAATGTCACCCCATGCTGTAATCTAAAATGTCACCCCATGCTGTAATCTAAAATGTCACCCCCCCATGCTGTAATCTAAAATGTCACCCCTCCCATACTGTAATCTAAAATGTCACCCCTCCCATACTGTAATCTAAAATGTCACCCCTCCCCATGCTGTAATCTAAAATGTGACCCCATGCTGTAATCTAAAATGTCACCCCTCCCATGCTGTAATCTAAAATGTCACCCCTCCCATGCTGTAATCTAAAATGTCACCCCATGCTGTAATCTAAAATGTCACCCCATGCTGTAATCTAAAATGTCACCCCTCCCATACTGTAATCTAAAATGTCACCCCTCCCATACTGTAATCTAAAATGTCACCCCTCCCCATGCTGTAATCTAAAACTCCTGTTTTTTTTCACTTCAGACTCTGTGACTATTATGATCGCTGTAATGATTAAAGATTGAACTGAAAAGAGAATATTTTTAGATAAAAGTATTAGTTAAAAGTCCAACATCATGGTGCAAATTACAAAAAACTAACATTGAATGTAATGAAACACCAATTTTTGGGTGAGCCCCAGTTGCTTCCTGAAGCTCTCGCTGAGATGTCTTCCATCTGCTAGATCTCATTAGCCGTGCATTTTTATTGGGCCTACCAGAGACCAGTGCCAGAACCTGGCCCTCCTCACTGAGGTGCAGAGAGCAGATGACACCCCGCCCTCGCGGGAAAAGGCATCCAAAAAGTCAACGAATCAATTCAGACCACTGCTGGGTTCAAAGAAACTAAAGGCTTACAACTCGCTGAATGAACTCCCCCAACAATGTAAACAAACAATCGAATATCTCAAACCAAATGTGGGATGAGAGAGGAGTCAGAGAGCCACTAGGGCTCAGCCAGAAATTGCATTTCATTACATTCAACAGTGATTTTCTGGGCCGGGTTGGGGGGGTATTGGAGGGGGAGCCCTCTCGTGGCTCTTTGAAGCTGACTATCTATGGAGAAGAAAACAGACTCTCCAGGGAGGAGGAGAGGAACCACAGGCAGTTACAATAAAGTCAGGACAACAGGCAGAGAGAGATATCCCAAAGCAACACGGACAACGAGGCCTAGGAACATTAGCCAAGCACTGGGCCACTAGTACCCTGTCTACCGCCAAAACCCTCCCCGCACCATAATAGTGAAAACAAGACGCAAGAGCAGCTTACGGTACTTTCCAACATCATGGGCCCAAGGATAGACTGCAAGCTGGCTAGGCCTAACAACTCTGCAGACAAGCTGAAAGACACGCGTCTTGGAACAGGGAATCAAGGAAACGAGATCCACTGAGGCAGAATGAGTGGCACGAAGGTAGTGGCAGAGAGCCTCCACCAAGCGGAACTCATGATGAACTCCCAACTGAACCAACCAAGCATCAGTAACCAAAGGACCCCTCCACAAGCTGGCCCAACTCATTTTTCGTCAGAAAAGGAGCTGCTCCTGAAAAGGAGGCCTGGTCCTCCGGAACAACCGTGGACATCTTCAAGAGAAAACTGGACGGTTTTCTAAAAAGTTCTGGATCAGCCGGGCTGTGGTGGGTACTTGGAGCTTGGTTGCTCCAGCTTGGAGCTTGGTTGCTTGGAGCTTGGAGCTTGCTTGGTTGCTTGGAGCGGCCCTAGCAACAGCCTGGTTGACCAGACTCTCACAAGTCGAGCCTGGCCTCGGGCCGGGCTTGGGGAGTAGAAGAACTCCCAGAACCCCATCAAGCAGGTATCAAGCAGGTCAAGGACCGGGCCACGGGGACGCTAAGCCCTGAAACCATCTCAAGGCAGGCTGCAGATGAACAAAATACCCACCAGGCCCAAAAGAACAAAATCCCTACCTCCAGAGGAGAGCACAAAGCTCCTTGATCCTTCAACTGGAGGCAAGTGCCAACCGCTTTAAAAGAAGAAGCTCGAACTGAAGGGGGACATGATTGACGTAGAAGAAAAAAGAAATGTGAGAACACACGCAAAGAACCATTGTTGCTCGAGCGCCTTGTGAGCAGGCCTAATGTGAAACAATGTGTGACAAAGCTCACAAAATGGCACTGGATGTATCGATGCCAAACAAAAGCAGCGGAGGCTCTACCAGTGTGGTACGATTAGAGGCGACAGTATTCAGCATGAGATGCCGATCAAGAAACAACCAAGAAAGGAATGAAAGAATGACATGCTTGGAAACCGAAGATCAATGGCAAACAGACAGGAAGTGGCAAGAAACCTTATACTGCCACCGAGAAAACCGCAAGTGGGACACTTATCAAATTAGCCACCTGTTCACCGTAGAGATGGTGATAAAGATGCATTAAAAAGACCAGACACAAAGAGCTGAGGAGAAGTTTGAACCAGTGAAGTACACCACCAGCCCACTCATCTGTAAGAGGCAGAACCGTGGAAAAATGCTTAGGTACAGCTAGGTATGCTAGTATACCTCTACAAATGCCCAGATACATCTAGGTATGCTAGTTTACATCTAAAAATGCCAAGGTTCACAGTACAAGCGGAACCTCAAACCAAAGCTGAGCTGGCCACCAAGAGCCAGAAGGACTACCTTCCCGTGGTAGGACTCAAACCTGGCTAAGACCCAGGGCAATAGCTGGATTGAAGAAAAGAGGTACAGAATCCCCAAATGCAACCAGGTCAGCTGAAAGGCATCTACGATGATGGCCTCGTAAACAGGAAATGGTCGTAGAGAAAGACACCGATTCCAAGCCGACAGAGAGAGATCCACGTCGGAGTGCCCAAACGCTAAACAAGACCACAGGAAGGAGGCAGCATCGACAGCACACTCAGTAGAGATAATATGGAACCCGGAACACATTGTCCATCATTGTCCATCATTGGTCACACCCTAAACAGGAACCAAGTGGTGAACCAAATTCACACAAGGTGAGAACAGTTTGAGAGGGAATACCCATAGGCCATAACGAACCCATGGGGGGGATTTCCAAGTCCTGAATGGTAAACCAAGAAAGACATCCAGGCACTGAGGGCACTGCACCGGACCTGAGAGTAAGCCGACACAGCTTAGGATACACGGCTGTGAAGGCCAACCTATGTTTGCCTAATGGACAAGCACGAAAGCAACCACTGTGCTCCACCAACTAGTGCTTGCTCCCAGACCAGGACCAGGACAGAGAGACCACACGACCCCCCTGACTCGCCAAAGACGAGGGCTACGCCAAGCAGGATGAACCTCTAAGAGAGTGAATCCCGACGACACCAGAGAAGAGAACACTGTCAATGTAGGGGCACTGCTTGGGAGCACTTACAAAAGGTAGATGACTGCCAACTATCCAGTAGTTGGCAGTCATCTCGGTGAGAGCTTCAGGGAGCCACATGGGGGGGGGGGTGGCTCTCTGAACCACCTTATGTGTGGCTACAAATAGTGTACGGTAATTCATAAAGATCAATTGTGTGTGGTGATTTGAGCACAGAAGACGATTGTGGTAGTGATTAGAGTCATTGAAGGGTTAGTGATTTATTCATAACATTTTTCTAGATACGTCAGTCATACTTAGAATAAGATTTTGATGCTAACTATGCAATATTCACTTGCAGTCCTCAGACATGGTAAAATAATAAGACTTGTTCTCATTGTAATGTTCTGTATACTGCAATGTTTAGACTAAATTGCTCAGCTATTTTGTGTTGAATATATGAGTGTAAACTTAATACAGTATAGCCTTGTTAATATTAAAATAATGATTGTAATCAAATGACTGCATATTTAATCAGCATATCTGGCTGGTTTCATTCCCCTCAGCTGTGTGAACGGGGGTAGAGCGGAAGTGTAAGGCACGGGGCGTCTCAAACTGCGCCAGCAATGACGACGACAGCATTTTCTCACGAGCCCGGCACTGCCATGGAGTGCCTCAGCATTCCCATCACCCTGGAGAAGGAGGCAGGACTGGATGAACATGGCAGACAGGTCAGCACTTATTATCTTTGTTGACACTTGGCACAAACTTATAATGTAGCGCGCGCACACACAGAGTGTTCAACACACCTTTCTCGCCCACCATAATCTAGCACGGAAAGGCTAGCCATAATCTAGCACGGTAAGGCTAGCCATAATCTAGCACGGTAAGGCTAGCCATAATCTAGCACGGTAAGGCTAGCCATAATCTAGCACGGTAAGGCTAGCCATAATCTAGCACGGTAAGACTAGCCATAATCTAGCACGGTAAGGCTAGCCATAATCTAGCACGGTAAGACTAGCCATAATCTAGCACGGTAAGACTAGCCATAATCTAGCACGGTAAGGCTAGCCATAATCTAGCATGGTAAGGCTAGCCATAATCTAGCACGGTAAGACTAGCCATAATCTAGCACGGTAAGGCTAGCCATAATCTAGCACGGTAAGGCTAGCCATAATCTAGCACGGTAAGACTAGCCATAATCTAGCACGGTAAGACTAGCCATAATCTAGCACGGTAAGACTAGCCATAATCTAGCACGGTAAGGCTAGCCATAATCTAGCACGGTAAGGCTAGCCATAATCTAGCACGGTAAGGCTGGACAGACTTGACTGGACAGACTTGACTGGACAGACTTGACTGGACAGACTTGACTGGACAGACTTGACTGGACAGACTTGACTGGACAGACTTGACTGGACAGACTTGACTGGACAGACTTGACTGGACAGACTTGACTGGACAGACTTGACTGGACAGACTTGACTGGACAGACTTGACTGGACAGACTTGACTGGACAGACTTGACTGGACAGACTTGACTGGACAGACTTGACTGGACAGACTTGACTGGACAGACTTGACTGGACAGACTTGACTGGACAGACTTGACTGGACAGACTTGACTGGACAGACTTGACTGGGCAGACTTGACTGGGCAGACTTGACTGGGCAGACTTGACTGGGCAGACTTGACTGGGCAGACTTGACTGGGCAGACTTGACTGGGCAGACTTGACTGGGCAGACTTGACTGGGCAGACTTGACTGGGCAGACTTGACTGGGCAGACTTGACTGGGCAGACTTGACTGGGCAGACTTGACTGGGCAGACTTGACTGGGCAGACTTGACTGGGCAGACTTGACTGGGCAGACTTGACTGGGCAGACTTGACTGGGCAGACTTGACTGGGCAGACTTGACTGGGCAGACTTGACTGGGCAGACTTGACTGGGCAGACTTGACTGGGCAGACTTGACTGGGCAGACTTGACTGGGCAGACTTGACTGGGCAGACTTGACTGGGCAGACTTGACCGGGCAGACTTGACCGGGCAGACTTGACCGGGCAGACTTGACCGGGCAGACTTGACCGGGCAGACTTGACCGGGCAGACTTGACTGGGCAGACTTGACTGGGCAGACTTGACTGGGCAGACTTGACTGGGCAGACTTGACTGGGCAGACTTGACTGGGCAGACTTGACTGGGCAGACTTGACTGGGCAGACTTGACCGGGCAGACTTGACCGGGCAGACTTGACCGGGCAGGACTGTCCGGTCTAGTCTGTCTGGTCAGGACTGACTCGGCTGGACTGACTCGACTGGACTGGATTTGTTGGACTGACTTGACCGACCCTGTCGGTCAGACAAATGGAGACAAATGGTCAGGCTAGACAAATGGATATACTGTACTGTATAAACAAACAAATAATTAATCCTTTAAATAATCACACTTAATGTTGAACACGGGGGAGCCTGCACCTGAGTATACAGCGCTCGGGATTTGTAGTCCTAAGGGTCCAGGTTGCTCCCCCTGATGCCCCCCCAGTTTGAGCAACATTACCGATACTCCGCAATACATTAATAGCTGTTTTAGTGTCTAGCGCTTTAATTTAAACGCCTCGTGTGAAATAAGGGCAGCTATAGTGCAGCAGTTGGCAGACACCACCTAGAAAAAAATCGTGGACAACATTCCTGGGTATGAGAGCCTCAGTACTGAGCAAGCCACCAAGGCTGACACACGCAGCATGAGCTCACAGCACCGCTGTTCAGCTTTTGACCACAGCGTCGCCTAAAAATGTCAAAATATATATGTACGTGCTATTATTTACCGATGATAGTATTACAGAAGACCCTTGACTGTGATAAGACTGACCAGAATTCTGATAATAGCAGGATTGTAGTGATATTTAGCGCTGTGCTCCATGGTGGGAGGAGTAATGGTGAGGGAGGGTGGTGGCATTGTCTTCTGACTGTGTGTGGCCACCTTTTATTGACTGGACTTACCATACCAGCTTAGTGGTTCACTGTGGTGAACATAAATGTAGATACTTATATATAACGTGTGTATAGAGTGTAATAACAGCAATAGGAGTATGTTGGGAGCCGCCATTTTGGTGAGGGAGGTGCGTCGTCTGCACGACTTGTCATGTTGTTTACTTGTGGCTACTATGGTCTTTGGGAATCATACCAGCTTATTTGTACAGGTATGGTGAATAAAACGGGTAGATACTTATATATAATGTGTGTGTATAGTGTAATACCACAAACAGTATGGTTGGAGGAGAAATATTAGTTCGTCTGGCCTTGAAGCAGTGAGGGCGGCAGCCACCAACTGACTGTGTGCGTAGCTACATCTCTTATTGCCTAAACTCACCACACAAGCTTAGAAGTACAGTTATGGTGAACAAAACATGTAGATACTTATATATAACGTCTGTGTATAGTGAATAAAAGCAAAAACAGTATGGTTGGAGGAGTATGTTGGCGATTGAGGAGGTGAGGGAGCGTGGGAGTGAGTGGTGGCGAGTGGCTGACTGGCTGGTGAGTGACAGCCACTCTTTGATGCTTTTTGACTCACAGTACCAACTTAGTGGTTCATTATGGTGAGCAAAACATGCAGATACGTATGTATAACCTGTGTATATAGTGTAATAACAGCAAAACTATTTGTTTATTGTTTTATGAATATAATAATTGAATCACTAATATGAACACAATAATTTTTAGTAGAGCGATGGTTCACACATTGTATTATATAAATATATCACAATACACACTATTGAATACTATTGCTGCAAAAAAAAAAAAATCAATCAGAGACATTGAAATAATTAGGTAATAATATCTATATGGCAATCCCTGCCTGATAGCTCGGGTGGAGCAGACCTCCTCTGGCGACTGCTGTGTCAACGCCTCTTTTCTGGGGAGAGCCCCGTCGGCTCCCCGGAGCTTTCCCAGGCTGATATGCTAATGTCAGACTTTGGCATCAGTCATGTGTATGGAGTTCTTAGACCTACCGGGGACCATAGCCAGAACCGGGCCCCCTCAGAGAGGAAAGGAGAGAGAGAAACCCCCGTGTGGTTGGAAGCATTCTATGTCTGCCATCGACCGGAACAGGCACCCAGAAAGGTAAGCGCCTCAAAACAAACCCCTATTCTGGTTAAAATTGCTACCAAAAGCCGAACTAATGGATAGAACTCCCCAACAGAAAACAAGCAAACTAGTGTGACGTCACACGTCGACGCGCCGCTGTCTGCGCAGCTCCCCCCTCCCCGGGAGGGGGAAGGGGGGAGCCCCAGACCCTTCACGCCGGCTACCCACACCTCAGTTCTTGATTCTGATGCTATAGGGGTAGGTCGTGTGCTCTGGCTCCAGTGTCGCTACAGCACTGTGCTCTGCGTGTGGTGTTTGTTTTTGTGGGTGCGAGAGCCAGGAGTTATCTTCAGTACTCAGGCTGCATGTGCCTAGGGCTGCCTTCCCTAGGTGCCCTGTAAGTACTGCCCTTGGGGCTTGGGGCCACCTTCCACAGGCTCCTCGGGGTCTGCCTCTGCTGGTCCGTTTTACCTTTTCGGTTTTTCGGCCGCCTGTTGGGCTTTTGGGTGTTCTGTTCTCCCTTGTTCCCTGTAGGTAAGAGGCATTTTGCACTGGTAGGGGCGCAGGGTGCTGCACAGCTTTGTATTCCCGACATAGCGGCCGGCTCTGTTCCTTGGGGTCCGTTGTCCTCTTGCGGGGTTTTTTTTTTGTTTTTGCCTGGTGGGAGGTTCTGCCCTATTATTCCACCGGTGGTTACCCTTCCACTGTTTTCCTTGGTGGCGCCCCCTGCTAGGTCCCCGTGAGTGTACACCTCCCTGGAGTACAGCTACAGAAGTTCTCTTGGTAGTTTTAGCCGCCGGTTAGCAGCGCCCTGCCTGGGACTACCTGAGCACGAGTCCTCTTCAAGTAAACGCCCGGGACCCTGGGAATCCCGTAGGGGGCGTGTGGGTCTGATGGATGTGACCCCGGAGTCCCCACTCGCTGTGTGCGAGTTTGAGGATTGCTCGGTCCCCTTGTCTCGGGGTGACCCCCATTGATTTTGCCTCTGCCACGCTGCCTGTTGGGTCAGTGATACTTTTGACCCTGAGTCCTGTGAGTGTTGCTGCTTGCTTGTGACTCAATTTACCCAATCCTCTGTTGATTCTATTTGGGTACAGGCGGCGGTGCATTGCAAGCTCGGTTTCGTCTGTTGCAACGCGCTCAGTTGGTTGCTCACCCGGATGCCCCGGGGCTGCCCCGTTTTGCTTTTCGAGACCCAGACTTTGGGGTGGGGGTCGCTTCGATCCTGGTTCAGTCCGCACCTCCTCGTCCTTCCCCTTCTGTTCGTTCTGGTCCCCCCCCCCCCCCTTGCTTCCGGCCCCGAAACGTCTGAGGGTTTCGGAGTCGGAGCAGGGGTTACTTGATCTCGAGACTCGGGCAGCTTTGGGGGTGCCCCTTCCGGGGGGGGAGGGGGGCAGAGGCATTTGAGTCTTGTCTCCCGGCCGAAGCGTCTGGGTCTGACCAGTGGGCCCCCTTTCTTCCGGCTTCTACGGCTGCTCCGTCCTTGTCTTTTGGTGTCGGGGCTTGGGGAGAGTTACTGGGATTAAAAATAGAGAAAATAAATTTAGTGATTATTATAATATACAAACCGCCAGATGCAACGGCCGAGGAATTCACAGAACAGATAAACAAAACAGAGAATAGCCTTGATAATTTGGAGAA